ACTCTCATGACCCCATCCATTCCTGCTGATTCCCTTTATATGTGACGCCTATACCGACCCCAGCCCTACTGAACTCAACCTCCCAGTAGCAGCGCCCAGTCAGACCCTCTGTACACAGCACTTGGGTCCATGAGTCAAACCTCTCCTGATGATCAGGATATGACTGTCTCTCTCTTCCATGCCACCACTCTGTTCCCCTCAGACAGATGGAGGTTTCTGTTTGGTGGTGCCCTTTACATTCCTGATGGAGAAAATCAGAAGGTGATGTTTTGGTCTTGTTCGCTCTTTATGTTAAAAAATTGTAGTCCAGATATACCTTACCTTGTGAGGACCAAATGTCCCCACAATGTGATGATTACTCGTTTTCTTGACCTTATAGGAAAACTAATTTTTCTAAAAATCTGTGATTGCAATCAAAAAACTGTAAATACAAAAACTCTTGTATTTTGCTTGGTTACTTATGGTTAAGGTTAGGGCTGGGTAGGGATTAAGGTTGTCTCGGTGCCTTCAAATCAGATATACTCACATACATATAGACATGTCATACATTTTATAGATAGAAAAAAACAATTTTCATATTTACTTCATATATGATTCATAAATTAATTTATATAACAGAGTTTCTTGTCTGACCTACATCTCCTCCCTTTGTGCAGCAGCTGAGACTGTATCCTGGTCTCTGTGTTTGTCCATGGTACAGAGATAACAGATACACTGCTGGTCGGTACGGCAGTAGACCTCCAGGGGTTTGTCATGGTGGGAACAGACCTTGCCCTCAGAAGTCCAGTGGCATCAGTCAGCTTGTGCGTCTCCTGGAGACTCATAGTGAGGCTGGAGGTGAGTTTCACAGCAAGAGGCCAGACACACCAGGCAGGACTTGATGGCTTTGCGTTTTCTCCCAGTGCAGACGTCACACTCCACATCTCCATGGTCAGCAGGAGTAGCTGCTTGTAGTCCAGTCTTCTTCAGTTTCTCCACCACTTCAGCCAGCATGGTGTTTTTGCCGAGAACAGGTCTGGGTATGAAGGTCTCTGCATTGGGGGCAGCTGAAAACTCCAACAAGATCCCAGCAGCTCTAAATGCAGTATATACGATAACGGTATCCACAGGAAATGGTCACTGGATACTTCAACAGATCCAGGCAGATTGGACATGTAAAGTTCTTCTCATCTATTTTATCTCCAGCTTCTGCCATGTTATAGTACTGCTTTTACTTTCTTCTTTTCAGAAACTGATCTCGAGAGTGGCGCTGGGAGGTACTTCCAGGATTGGCTGCAGCAGGTGTGGTTTTGGCTCAAGGACAGAATGAGCCGAGAGAGCAGAGAGCAGTGCCTCAGTGATTGTGCTCTTCTGGGTGGGTTTGTCACTGATAGTGTTTCACAGCAGGAAGACCAGAATAGCCGAGAACATCTGGTATTACATCCTCTCTGTTGGACCAGTAAATGGCTAAACAGTCCCCCTGAGTGGTGCTGAAAGCTCTTACATACGCACACATACATGGCCAGTTACCTGTAGGTCTGCTGGACATTGATCCTGTAAGAAGCAACAACAATGGTGCTCGACTGCTGAAGCTCACCTGTTAAAATGCTTCTTGATGTTTGTGTGTGACCACCTGCATTTCCATAACTCAGCTGCAAATAGTTTCTGCACCAACGTTTCAAATGAGCTTTTAGATCACAGTACTTCAAGTCGAATCAGATGATTTTAGAACTTTAATGTGTTTGTAAGATTTGTTATGAATGGTAGCAGCAATAATCAATATTGCTCTTGCTGTTGCCAGACAGTGACACCTAGTGGACAGCAGAAGATCCCAAGGTGTTGTTACTGGCTGATTCGACTTTTTGAGACCTGTTTGGGAGTCTGTAGACCACTCATTATATCATCAGATCATCTACAAACATTGTTTTATGTGTTTACATGTGTGTGTGTGTGTGTGTGTGCGCAGGGGGGGTATGGGGTGACAGGAAAAAGGATAGGAATACCAATGAGATACAGCTGGACTTGATTGTGAGACCGGAAGGCAATTGACCTTTGGTGGCCCCCCAAAGCTAAGTGAGAAATACCTTCAGTGTTTAGGAACCTATAACCATGTTCCTTACATCTGTATCTGCAGATGGGGGGTTGGAAATAGCAGTGGAGGTGCTGAAGGAGCTGTGGGCCAGACTGGTGGATGTCTGGGTGGAGGAGGTCAGGTGGACCCACCAGGATCAATGGTTCCTGATCCAGGCCCATTCCTGAGTTGGGATGCTAGACATCAATTACAACAGCACAGGACCCTGCTCTCTGGGGGGGGGCATCAAAGCAGAGTCCAGCAGTTTTATGTAGAACATTTTAAATCAGATAAACAAGAATTAAGGTACAAATAATTCATGTGAATGTTTTCTTTGACTTACTGACATCTCATTTAGGGATAGAAATAAACTTGACTATATGGTGGTCCTGTCTAAATGGAATGTGGGATTCTGGATGTTTTGCTTCAACACTTCAAAATGAATTATATTCCATTAAATTTAAAAACGGGATTTCTTGCATTTGCTACTAATAAACTATTATTCTGGAGGACATACAGTGTTTAAGCCGTGTTTTGGCAGAACTGCAGCAAGCCTCACAACTCCCAACCCTTTTGCAGACTTCATAGGAGAAGTCACCAAAGACATGAATGGCGCTGCGCGTTTTACGTGCCGTAAGGATTTGCGTTTATTACGTACTGCGTAATTTCCGTATGTTCCGTTCTGGTCGGACGTCGACACTTCCGGGTTATACGTAGAAGAGGTTCGACGACGCATAATCCCCCAAGATTCTTGTCTTTGCGCGTTTGCTTGTACTTTGTGTTTTATTTTATTTTGATTGCTTGTGTACGACTCTGGTCTGTTTTCTGATTTATCGCTTTTTGCTTTGCCCCCTGATTTTTGGTCGCCTGTTCTCTATATTTTCCATTCACGTGTACCGACCATTTTGTCTGTGTTCCCAACTACGAGGAAGCCTAGCTTATCGTATCGTGTATGGTGTAAAGAGTGACAGCCGTTTTCTTTGTCGAGATATTTGTATATTTGGATAGGGAGATGGTAAGAATGATTGTCTTTTATTTTTCTTTTGTATGTCAGTTAGTTTGCGACTCGGTGCGGTAGGATTTTTTGTTTGTTGTGTTGGCCTGGGTCACACTTGAAGTCTACCTACGCTGTGGTGAGCAAACTTGTAAATGCACACTCCGTTTATACACGAGGCTGAAGTTGGCTACTTATTCGCAGTTACTTATTCGGATTTTTCGGGTCCACCTTAAATGCTTCTTTTTTTTCATTTATTTCTAGAGGCCCCTGCTCCTTCATTTCAAAACGTCCCAAAAATCTGCCATTGCCATCTAATAGTAGGTTTAACAGAGTGTATGTAGACTTATTTTGGTGAATTTTTACTGTAGCATTTTCTCATAATCACCTCCTAAACTTGGCACTCCATTCTATATGGGTCTCAATGCATTTCTGAACAATTACATCCCAGCTTTCTTTATTATATGCCTGGGGAAGTGCAGTCGTTGGTGTGCCTTTTTAGTGACGGCTGAAACCTGAAAAAAATAAGCATTTAAGGTGGACCGGAAAAATCCTAATAAGTAGCTGCGAATAAATAGCCCACTTCTGCCTCGTGTTTATACTACCTCTTCTGTGCACCGTGTTTGTTCTGCCCACAAATCTATCTTACTCCCCAAACCCCTAGACTGGTTCTGTAGACACGACGGAGGCGAGCACCAGAGGGATACAGCGATGACTGCTCTGCCTGATCTCTTCTGGTTAGGGTTGCCACATCTGAGTTGTGGAAAACCGGGACGCCCGCGGCGGGGGTGGGGTGGTGGTGCCCTTTACATTCCTTTTTGCTGCCTGTAAAAGTGCCTTCTGTTCCTCGACGAAAGCTTTAAAGTTCCGTCTGATCTGGAGTTAAGCTTTTCCTAACCCAATGATACAGTTGCCTGTATGCACGATCTGCACCGTGTGGTTACGCGCGTAGATTTGCATACTACTTAGAACCAATCAAATACAAGCATGCGCCCGCTACAGCAACACGGAGACCAGAAAGCCTATATGTAGACCTGTCAGAAGAGCGGGGAAGAGAACACTGATGCAGAAACAGCAGAATTATAGGTTTGTTCAAAAGTGAAACTAACGAATATGTTACTGGCAATGCATTTTCACGAAAAATCGGGACAATAGGAGTCCCGGGAAAGTATCAATTTTCCGGGACAATAAAAAAGGAGAACAATCGCGGGAAAACCAGAACGTGTGGCAACCCTACTTCTGGTGTGTGTGTTTATTTGTATGTGTGTCTCGATCAGCTCTCTCTTGACGTACCACGATAAACGCCGATTTGGCAGCGTACCCATCAGGCATGACTGCTGTGGAAAATCATATATTTTTAATCTTTCATTACTGCCAATCTGTTGTTACATCAATATTACATGATCTGCACCTGACCTTACTGCATTTGGTGTTCTCCACGCCTGTATCATCTGATGTGCACTGATCGGATGTTTTTCATATGAAACCTTCAGGTTTCTTAAGCCTAGTCGCTAATTCTGCTCTTCGTTCATCGCTTCACCTGAACATTAATCTTCGGTACGATGCACAGAAATAATACAGTGTGTCCCGGAGGACTTGTTTCTGCTCTTATCCTCTGTATTTGTGCCTCACTGTTTTTTTTAAATGTTTCATGCTATTTCTTTTTAAGTTTTCGCGTGATTTTTCGTATATATATAGGTTGTGTACTTATTGCGTATTTCACTGTTTTTCCAGATCTACAATAAACACCCTGTAGAATAGGATGAGACTTTGTGATGTGGAACAAATGTTTGCTCTTCAGAATGTAAATCACATTCACGTCATGTTTACAGAACAGACTGGTGGACCTTTATGATCTAATCATTGATGGCAGGTGACTCAGCCTGATGTGTGTGCTTCATTCCACTAGGGGGCAGGAATGCCCTGACTTTAAGCATTATTTCTTAATCAATGATCTGGCTTTCAAAATCTTAATATTTAATATGCATAGGGGATGCAAGGGAAAAAAATTACAGTGCTTTAAATATTTTTTTCAAAGACTGAGAATTTCAAATTTTAATATCCTTGGCAAAGTTAGTAAAGGGTAATTCATTAAGGATGTTCAACACAAATTTTATGGTAGTTATTAATATTATTATTCACTGATGCTGTGTGGTTAAGCAGTTACTGAACACACTGGCCACTGGTCCTGATTTAATGTCTTCCAAAGACATGGAGCACAACTGACCCCTGTCATCACTGACACCTTTGAAGACCCTTTGGCCCTATTCACTGTCCCACTGTGCTGCAAGGGGACAGTATTTGTGCCGCTGCAAGAAGCATCAAACTGCCATCTCTGAATGAGATCCGGCCAAAGGCACTGACCTCAGTGCTCATGAAGTGTATGGACAGACTGGTCACAGGACAGGAGACATTGTTCCATACTCTCTGGACCCCCTACAGTTTGTGTACTGGAGGACCAGGCCAGTGGATGTCTCTCTCTCTCTCTCTCTCTCTCTCTCTCTCTCTCTCTCTCACCCTTCTTACCAGCCTTGAACACCTGGACAAGAGGGACACCTCGGCCAGGATGTTACCCTGAATGTTCTGTATTACATTAAACATCATTAGAGTATCACAACACATCCACGTAAACGGCCTTCAGACGACTGTTGTGAAAGGCGCTATATAAAAATAAATTGAATTACCCATCGACTTGCTCAGACATTTTGCTGGTTTCAGTGGCACCATTGAGTTTGTTTGGGATGTTCCAGCCATAACTGAGCGGCGTCCGCTAAAGGATCTGACTTTCACATCACCCATTTTTTTTTGCTAATTTTGTTCCCAAAATATTCACACTGATGTTTCTCTTTGTGGTTTATTTCATAATGTCTTCGTTCAAGGCCCGCAGTCCGTGACTGGAGATGAAATTGCATAACTTTTACGTGTTCTGCACCTGGCCTTACTGTCCCTTAATTGAGTTTCCTGGTTCTCCACACCTGTGACCTGTGATGTGCACTGATTGGTTGTTTTTTCATATGGCACCATCAGGTTCATTAGGTCTAGTCTTCTGGAGAAACACTGGAATGTATCCTTGGCGTCAGAAGCTAAAACACCTTGTCTTCAGTTGGGAGACTGAAACAGAGGCACACTCTCGATTCAAGTGCAGCACATCTTCTTATCTTCTTTTGTTTCGTATTTCCATAGTTTTTTTTTTCTGTTGTACATTAAAATTAGTACACTACAGAATTCAGCCATTTCCAGAGTTAGTCATTTTGGTCGTCCTCAGGGATTATATCAGCAGAATCCTACTCTGCTCTCAGACTCAACAGGGAAAACAACGCAGAGACTCGCTGGCCATAGGTTGCCAGGATCTGAGAAACTGAGGAGGAGATATCAACCAGCAGGTCCCTTCTTAAATCCCACTCAGCAGATCTCCGAGATGTAATGCCCCCCAGATACAGACATAAACAGGGGAAAAGCCATGTAAGAAACACACTTTGAACATCTGCTTTCTCTACGAGCCCAGGAAGCAGAGTTTAATGGTAGTTCCTTTGCCGTAGAGGTAAAAGCCAGCATAGAGGGGCTCGGTGAACGTGGTCTGGACCCTGTGCAGGAGGGTCATTGTGTCAGAGACACTGTAGAAGGATAGAATTCCTGCCCCGTGATCCAGGTACACCCCTATCCTTGAGGATCGGGGGCCAGACACCGTCCAGCATTTATTATTATGCCAGAAATTATACATAGAGGGGAAGTAGTACAAACTCCAGGACTTGTCGTTGTATCCGAAGAGAGTGCGGTCGTTCCCGCCCTTCCTGCTGATTCCTCGGTATGACGCCGCCACGCTGATCCGATTCCCGCTCCACTCTATCTCCCAGTAATGGCGCCCAGACAGGCTCTCCGAGCAAAGCACCTGTGGTTTCTGCTCAAATCGCTCGGCGTGCTCGGGGTACGGCTGCGCTTCTTCCACACGAGTCACCACCCGGTTCCCCTCCGACAGGCAGAGGTATTTATTCACCGTGTTGGGGTCCAGTGTGAGGTGGCAGCCATCTGATACAGAACAACAATGCAGGATATATCAGTCTTATTATTGTACAATATATCATTTTCATTCATTATTACCAGGTTTTATTATATTTCATAATGATTTTTAGTTCATTGTGTCATATTCCAATATTAGCTTTCACATAATGAAAGCAGCCAAGATGTATTTTTTATTATTTTCCTATAGGGTTTAATGTGTGTGAGTACAATCAAACACTCACATCGTACAAATTCGTCTCTGCTCCTGGGCTGGGGTCTCTGTGAAGGATTTTCCTTTTCCACTGCAATTAAAAGTTTTATTATTATTATTATTTGTAATCATTTTATTATTACAACACCCTTGTGCAAATTAATTGAAACAAGATGTTGCGTCTATATGCAGACGGACTGACCACAGTTGAGATGGATATCACAGTGACATTACTTCATACTTATCGCCTTGGGTCCGGTGAATTGATAGAAACTGTATGTGAATAACCCAGGATGGGACGCCAATCCATCACAGGGCAGATACACCATTCATGCCTGCGGGGAATCTGGCAACTCCAGTTAACCTTAGTATGTATTTTGACTGTGGGGGGAAACCAGAGAACCCAGAGGAAACCCCACAATGATGCGGGGAGGTACCTGAACCCCAGAGCATTCACCTGAAACATACATGGATGGCTGAAGCACAGTTACACTACCCAGCTCTAACCCAGC